ATACCTAGCATATCTCTAGCATGCATAAGATCTCATAGCATATCTCATAAATATCTCATAATACAAACGTAAGGGTATTTTGGGAAATCACCGTTCGGGCTCTGGCTAATTGTACACACTGCTCCAACTCGTATTCTTTTAGAAACTCTTGCTCGTTTTAGAAAAATCATTTCTTTGAAATTTTTTCTCAAATCCTCAGTTTGAGTCCAGATTTACCCGAAGGCGCATCCGAATACCTCAAACCAAGGCTCTGATACCAACTTGTAACACCGTAATTTTTCAAACAAATTTTTCATTTTAAAATCGCATACTTTTCATAACACATTGTATAGAAATCTCGTTTATTCAAATTACAAAACACAACTCCATTAGTAATCCAGGATCCTCAAAACATAACTCTTTCTCTGGTGTGTACAATCAAGCCGGTGCCTTCCCGCGATCCTCTGAGATACCTGAAACACATAACACATAACACGGTAAGCACGAAGCTTAGTGAGTTCCCCAAAATACCACATATAACACATATTAGCCACTCGAGGCTATAACTCTGTGGACCCTCTGGTCCTAACTCTGTGAACTCTGAAATACACACAGCATAAATCACATAGAAGTAATGCAGTGTAACACATCACATACATAGCATACAAGATACTTTGTCACATAACTCTACTTACCACTCAAGGTAAACTATAGTGAGAAGACTCACCTCGCATGATGTCGGATACCCTCTCGTGCTCGATAATCCGACCTAGCCTCCTCCTATCAAAATGATAACATCTCTAATCAAAATCCTCTCATGTTCTCATCCCTAATAATGGGTACAAGACCATTCTACCCCTCTCTGACCTCTCTTGAATCAGCTTGACCAAAACCCCAAGGTCAACTGAAGTCAACTCTAGCCAACGGTCAAACTTTTTGACCAGACTCGTCGAGTGCACATGGGTGACTCGGCGAGTCCAAGCGTGTCCTCTGAATCCTCCTATGGCCTATCGCGGCTCGTCGAGTTAACCCTTCACTCGACGGGTTACCACGGGTCACGAATCGCGGGGCAACCCGACTCGACTCGTCGAGTCCCCTTATGAACTCGGCGAGTTTCCTCCATGGCAACACTCAAAAGACCTTCTGAGGTCAGATCTGTTTCTCTAACCTATAGATCTGACTTCCCAATGCTCAATATTCACGTAAAGGTCCAATCTTTACACTCATGCAACGCACACAAGGCTTCTTTTGGTGAAATAGCTTCTAAAATGGCAACCTAGGCTCATATCTCAAAGGGAACAGCATAAAGCCGAATGATTGGGACTCTCTGGACCTCTTAAGGTCCAGATCTAAGACTTTATCCACATTGGGACCTCATATGCATCATATACTATCCAAGAAAGGGTAAAGAAAAACCCTAGATTCAAGGATTTTACACAAAAACAGAAGGAAGGGGCGAAATACTACCTCAAAATGGAGATCCTTGCTTAGATATCTCATAATAACAACCTCCTTTGGTCCTTCAAGCTGAATCCCTTCACTTCATTTGAAAAACCACACCAAAATTACTTGATTTCATCACAAGAACTCTTTATTGGCTCCAATGGCGATTTAGGGTTTCTCACAGGAGATATGAGGCGCACCCAAGGTCATAAGTTCCTTTAAATAGACTCCAACCCCGGAACTTAGGGTTTTCTCTGCCCAGTACCTACTCGGCGAGTCCATCCTTGGACTCGTCGAGTCCGCTCATTAAATCCAGGCGGCAATCTCGACTCGACTCGGCGAGTTGGTCCCTTAACTCGTCGAGTCCCTCCTCAAATCTCAAGATTAACATACACAATAATGTCCCTGAAAATCCGGATGTTACATCTTCCATCAAAAATTCATTTTTGACGTTTATCGTCTCTAAACCGACCAGCCCTGATCTACGGGCGTTACATTTGTTACCATTAAATTTGTTATCAATATTGAATTGTAACAAAATTATGGAGAATCATACTAAATGCTTGTTCACATTCTCAAAACTGGTCTAAGAAAATGCATAAGTTCATTATTCAAGCGGAAACAGGAGTTAGGGGTCGTTTCTTTTTGACTTCATGAGTTTAATACAGATATGATCATTTCATTATTATATGATGCAAATTGCTTTAACTAAATGAATATTAACGAAACCACTTATTGTTATAAACATAATATATTGTGTTTTTAACATGTTATTTTCCTGACTATGGTACCAAAAAAACACAGTTATTCCGAATTACACTTATGTACTTTCATTATATGAATCACTAGCAGGAATAATTTATTGGCTGACAATTTTGATTTCGAGTAAGTTTCAATAAAAACATTACAGGGGCATAATCGTCTTTTTAGTTTCTCAGATCTGTGGGGTGTTTTTCTGTTTATCAAGCTGAAAGATTGTTATCTGATTTATCCAACTTTCAATTTTAATTCAGAAAATTGCTTTCTAGTTTGCATGATTTGAGTTTTGTTACTATTAAATTTGTACTTTTATATATGAATCAATAGCATGAATAATTTATTGGCTGTAAATTTCAATAAAAACATTACATGGACATAATCAACGTCTGCGGGGTTTTTTCTGTTTATCAAAATGAAAGATTGTTACATTAAATTAAATAGGTTGCTGATATGATTAAAAATCAACATCATGTAAATATTATAGAACATCATAATTACTACATGGAAAACCTATTCGTTTATATTGCAGTGGTATAATGGTCACTTATTAATTTTTTTTTGGTCCATTACATTTTTTAGTCTTTTATTGGCTGCACAACTTATAATCATTAATAATATACTTTTCTTATTCTATTTTTATGTTTCTTTCTCTATTTTCTCTAATTTCTTTTTTTTATTCTGTCTTTTATTCACAAACTTACAACAAAAAAGCAAGGCAAAAAAATTTGTTGAGTAAGGGTCATATTGACCATTTGTTGATATTAGGTAAAAAAGACAAACCAAAAATGGTAAAATGGTCTTTTTTTTGTCAATCAAAATGGGACAAAGTACAATGGAATATATACTTAACTTTCAATTTCAATATGCTTTCGATTATTCGTAGGAAATGAATATAGGTAATAAAGTATACCTCGAAAACATTGAACAGATTGATGATGATTCACATATCAAAGTGCAGGTGGTAAAGATGTGGAACTTTACAAAAAATAATATGGTTTTATCAATTGAAATGATTGTAATGGACGAGGAGGTTGGTTATATTGTTTATTTTTAATATCCCACTAAATATTACATAGGTTTGAAGCAATAAAATATTTTTTTTGATTTAACAGGGTACAAAATACCATTCTCGTGTTTTCAATCAAAAATTTTCCAGATTTGATGATCTTTTAAAGGAAAGTCAAGCATATATCATTATAAAACTCAACATGGCGTCTGTGAATAATGATTTTAGTGCTACGGATCAGAAACAGACCATAACGTTGAATTAGAAAACTATTGTAAAAAATGTGGGATTTTTCAGGTTCGGTGAATGGTTTTGTGTTTGTTGATTTTAATTCTATTATCGAACAAAAATGCACAAGAGACTCATTCTTTGGTTAATTATTTAATTTTATTCCAATCACTTTTATAACTTGTGTAATTTATTATACATGTTAGTATTTAACCTAATCTTATTTATTATATTTTATTAAACTTGTGTAGATGTTATTGGACAAATTGTCTCATTTCAGACACTTAAAACATCAAATCCTAACCCATCCAAGCATTACATAAAGATGACTATTAGCAACTTACAGTGATATTATATTTCTTTTATTTCTTTATTATTTTTAATCACAATTTTTTCATACTAATTAATTTTATTTTTATTTAGGTTTGTACACCTGAAGGTCACTATATTTGGAACTCAAGCACACCAAATGTCACAGTACCCGAAAAGTAACCCTACGGTTACTTTTGTTGTTATAGTGATGCAGTTTGTTAAACTTAACATTTGGGATGGTTTGTGGTCACACTATATATATATATATATATATATATATATATATATATATATATATATATATATTTCTTTCTTTTTATTTGAATTTATTTTTATTGACTAATTTATTTTTACAGGAATTGGTGAAGCCCAAAGTTATTTTGATATAACCAAATTGTTCATTAATTATGACATTGTCGAAATTAATGAGTTCAAGAAAGAGTTAGTTTCTTTTGTTTTTTTAACTTTTTTATATTGTTTTATTTATTTAAAGCAAGACAGTTTCTTATATGTATAAAAATAATTTTAAACATTACATATTGAAAGTTGATAACAATAGAGGTATCTCTGAAAAAAACATACCTACACTCCCAAGTTACTCTTCTTCTTATATAGATGATTTTAAAGGGAATTTCCCTTTAAAAATAGTTTGTGAGATCACAGAACCACTGAAGGTATATTGCATTATTTGATATCCTTTAATTTAATTTACACATTGTATGTTTTTTTTTAATTTTACATTTTATTTGATATAGGTAATGAGATTTCAATTAATTGGTTCCATCGTCAATATAAGACAGAATCTACCTTGGTATTAAGATGCGTGCTCCAAATGTAAAAAAAAAAAGATAAACACAGTGCCCAAACCCAATCATTCCTATACTGTCCCCGACAAAATTTCAGAAAGTGTTGTTATTGAGTGTAAAGATGCGCGTTGCAACGATTCGGATTTTCATACGGTTACAAAGTATACACATTTCTATTTATATTAACCATTTCGATCTTTCAACAAAATTAATATTAATGAAATATTTTTTTGTTTACGTATATAATTCTAATCAACGTACAAGATGATACTGGCACCATCAGATTGACTCTTTTTGACAGGGAAGCGAAAAGGCGGTTGTATATAAGTGCATACGACTTGAAAAAAATACATGAAGCGGTATACTATGTTATTCATATTTTTAAATAAAAAAACATTTTATTTGTCTTAATATATTAAACAATCTTCTTACAGGCTGGAGACAGTTTGTAACTATTTCCAAACCAAATGAACGTCTTGAAAAACCACAAGTTTGCTTTTCTTCTTGATATTACATCCTACAACGTCAACAGCTATAATAATATATACACCATTGTCAAACTTACAGAAGATGTGTCCATTGTTTCCCAATTAGAAAGTAAAATAGAACTTATGGTACATAACTTTTTAATGTTCAACAGTTATATTTGTTTTTTTATTTATATACACAACGTTTTACATAGTTCCATCTTAATTTCTAGAGTATTCAATTTGTGTCCTTAAATCAAGTACCTTTTGAACCAGATGATGTTGTACAGAATGTTTAAAAAGTATTTCGATTTCCATATTAACTTTTATTTATATTTAATTATTCCAATTAACAACTTATGTTTTTTTTTAATTTAGGATGTGATCTCACAAACGGATGAGAGTTTTACACCCTCAATTGTTAATAAATCAACCGCAACCAGTCCTATCAAAATATCAACTGATTTGAAGCGCAACCTCCATGCCATTTATGACGTTGATTGTGGAGATGATTTCAGTTCAACAAAATGTAAAAGAAAATTAACCGGAGAGGAAAATCCACTTTTAGTTCCAAAAATGGAGAAGTGAGTTGGTTTTAGTTTTAACAAACAAGTACTAATTTTTGATGTTGGTTTGGTTTTAAATTCTGTTTGGTTGTTTGGTACAATGTTTTTTTGGAAATCTAGGATGTCAATTGTGATAGGTTGGTTTTGGTTTTAACAAACAAATAATAATCTTTGATGTTGGTTTGGTTTTAAAATCTCTTTGGTTGTTTGGTACAGTGTTTTTTTGGAAATCTAGGATGTCAATTGTGATAAGTTTATTAAGGTATGTATGGCTTATCAAAAGAGCATTTCCATGAATTCATACATATTTGTTAATGATTGATGATTTAATTTTTAGTTTTTGAGAAACAACCCATAGTACGTTGTTTATCGTTACAAATGCAAAAAATATCATGTTGGCTATCATCATTTTTTGGTAAAAGTTGACAAATTATCATTGTTGTCATGTTGTTCATGACACATGGACCATTTTTAAATAGTTTATCACCAAAATGACAATTTGTCTAAAAGTTCCGAACCTCCTTTATAATCCCACACTTGGAAAATCAATTGACAAAAGTCAAACTAACCCGAGGAACCCAATCTCTAAACTTTTTGTCCCGCTTTTATGCAATGTCATTTTTTTCTGCATTTTATTGGAAAGTTGTTCGTCGTATAAAGAAGCCTACAAGCAATAATCCATGGCTTGATTGCCTAGACAGGTACCCTCTTGAAGAACTTTCTTAGAGCAAACCCCTAAAATTTTATTAATGAAATATTATTTTATTATATAATTAAAATTTAAATTCTATTTAAAATTAACAACCCGTGGGTTCCACGTGTTTTAACCTATTATTATAATAAATTGGTAGTATTTTGTAATTTATCTTAAAAATACAATTGTATATACTCGTTGAAACATATTTTATAATGCAAAAAGATTGCGTCGGTCTTAAAAAAATAACATGCCATTTTGAAAGGGTCTCATGAACACCAGCTCTCCTTCACTTTTATTTTATGTATAGTAAATTATAATTTGGTCCCTATATTTTACCAAAAATCACAAATTCAATTCAAATTTTCAGACCGTCCCAACTTTGTTCTAAGGTTTGCATTTTATTGTGAATAAGGTCCTTGACCAATATAAAACGACCTCGAATTTGACTAAATTTTAAATTTCGAGTATAATACAAGGACTATATCCGTAGCGAATTACAAATGTAAGGACGAAATTAGTATAATTTGAAATTTTAGACTAAATTTGCAAATTTGTATGAAAAACAGAGACCAAATTTGTATCTTACTATTTTATTTTTTATTCATTACTCCATTTTACACCCATCCTTCTCTGTTTCTTGTTATTGAATGCTGCCTTTCTTGAACTAATCCTCGTCTTCATTCTCCTTTTTTTTCATCAGAAAAATTAAACTCCGATCGTCCAATCCAACAACCGCCGTGATTAACTAGTAAACAGGGATGCACGCTTGGCAACCAATCGTCGCCGTGGTGGTAGCCACCGGAATATTCGTTCTCCTCCTCTTTTACTTCATCCGACGCTTCTGCTGCCACCCCGAACAACAACCGCAAGAACAACCAATCCAACGAGCATCGTCGTTACAAAACGGGATTTCTAAGCTTCATAATCAAGAAAGCATTTACAGCAACAAACGCCGAACAAATTACTATGTTCTCCGACGTGGGATTTCGTCAAAACCTCTGTTTAATTGGTCGGACAATCCTTCTCTTATAACCGATGCGGTGGAAAACGGATGGTCACGATTCGCATTCAAAAACTTCACCTCCTCTCCTTCGATTCAATCAAACAAGTCTATCCTGGGATACTGCGCTCCCGCCGGTGACGGCGGAGGGAAAGACGTCGAAATGGTGGAAATCGGTTGGGAAGTTTGTCCAGGATCCGCCGATTTCATACAAAAGATTCGGATTAATTCTGGTTTACAGAAAATCATCAAGACGACCACTTCTTCAATGGCGGCAACTTCCGTCATTAGATCGGCGTTGCCTTTACCTGGTCCGGCGTTGGGGAATTCGTCGCCGTTCCCCCAAGAAGCCTATTTTGAAATTACCATTTTGTCCATCTACGAAGATGAACACAGAATCGATATAAACGGGAAAGTGAAGGCGAATAAGGGAGAAGAGAAAATTAAGCTAATTCAAGAGAATCTTGCCGGTGAAAAGGCTTCGTCGGAGTCGTTGATTCATATTACAAGCAATAACAATAATGGTATGTTAAAAAGCCGAAGTGATGGTAAGGATACAGTTGAGGGGAAAACGGAAATGGGTATTGTGGTTTCGCTGGGCCTCGCCGGAGGAGGGTCGCTTCCGTTGAAGCTTCCCGGAAGTTATCCGGGATCCGTAGGCTTCAACTCCGACGGCTCTGTTTATCTAGAAGGTATGTTTTTCTTCTTTTTACTAAAGTCAAAGTCCACCACCATTGGTCATGCTCAAAAGCCAAAATCACTTGTAGAAATTGTTTTATTTACCAAAATAATATTCTTTTGTTTATCATATAATTTAATACAAATATTTGTATGTACAATAGTAATGGTAATAAATAATGTTTTCTAAATGTTTAAAACATTTGAATGGTATATTATTATATTTAAAGTAAAAAATGATGGTATACAACAAAATATTTAGTATTAAATTTTAATTTAGAATCAAATACAAATCATATGATGCCAAAAAGCAACTATAGAAACTCCATCTAATGACACATGTGACCCACAATATGCATTTAACATAGTTTGCTATATGAAAAGGCCCGCAACAAGTGTCATTATTATGAATAAAATATTAAAATAAAACATATATTTATTATTTAAAATTTTACTGTTTACGTATATCTACTTCTCAATATTTTTATATAGTCACTATATATTTTAAAATATGGTTTGTGACAACAATTACCATTTACGAAGTCTATTCAAAACCAACAATTAATATTAGATTAATAGATTATTTGCAATGTTTACTAACAATGGCAAAGTATATTTGCTACTATATAGGATAATTTTTGTATTTTGGTTATTTTTATTTTTGTTTTAGTATTTATTTTAATAAATAAAATTTACTCAATAAAGTCAAACTGTCTTATCAAGTGATAATTTTTCAAAACAAAACAAAATGATTAATTATGCATTAAAAATATAATAACTTAAATAGGAAAAAAAAAAGTGTTATCACGACTTTAACCTTTATTATTATTGTTGTTATATATACTCACAATTTGACTTTTCTTTAATTGTGATTTAATTTCTTTAAAAAGGAATATATTAATGATGATGAATTAATAATGAAAAACAAGTTTTAACTTATGACAATGTATGATAATTACACAGGAGTTAAGCTAATGACTGATTCAGAATCTAACGAATGGGGAATAACCGAGAAGGTGGTTGGTTGTGGGTACAACCCAAACCAGAAGAAAGTTTTCTTCACCGTAGATTCAAAACTCGTGCATGAAGTCCATTGCATGGCGGATGAATTTGAAACGCCACTTTATCCAACATTAGCAGCAAACACTGATGTTACAGTGCTTGTAAATTTTGGACAAAGTGTCTTTAAATATACACAAGCAAATTTGCATAGGACACCAAATCCATGTTTCATTGGACCATTGGGAAGTTCTCCGGTTTTAGGGTATGATGACAGCAAAGAGCTCTTTTCAATGGGAAGAATAGATTCGCATTGGTTAGATCGATCTGCAAAGAGAAGTGTACAATATTATGGAAGTGTTAATAGAGGAATGTCTGATTATGATGAATCGTCTGAAGGGGATTTGTTTGAAATTGTGTTGGATAATAATAGTCGTGGAAGATCGCCAAACACACCTTTTTGAAGAAAAATATAATGTATAATGCATTTTTGTCGACGTCATTGGTAGATGTAAATTGATTTGTTATAGGCTAAAAGTGGCTACATATTGATTAAAAAGCCTCCAAATTGAATAAATGGATGTATGGAAGATGAGGATGTGTTTTAGCTGTGTAAAGTTATTCCTAACAGATGGTGACTTAATAAAGATGGAATCAAATATCGTCCCAAATAATCTCTTTTAATTGTGTTATGGGTTCCCTTGTGTCATTCTTTTATATTCTTTTTGTAAGTTGATTTTTAGATTCTTTTGTTTTGTTTGTTAGACCGTATGAAATGGGAGGGAAACTTCTCTCACTTTTGTGGGCCACATCACCATTTCCTTTACTTTCCTTTCCCTCACCTAAACCCAAGGAATGGGTGGGAAACTTCCCTCGCTATTTTGTTTTTTTATTTTTTTAAATAAAATTAATTCTTTTTTATGATTTATAATTTTTAAATTAATAATAAACATAAAATTTAATTAAAAATAAAATGCATTTCACTAATGAAAATAAAAATTACGTTAAACCTAATATTTAAATAAGTAGAAAATTAAAAAAAAAACGCAAACAAAAAATCAAACAAACCACAACATAGAAAACATAATTAATATCCTAATTTGAAAAAAAAAAACAAAAATACGTCACTCGGAATCATCGTCCTCGTCATCGACCTTGTCGTCTTCATCATTCCCCTGAACGTCATTCTCATCATCGGAATCTTCGCTCTCGACGAACATATCAGAATCCTCGTCTGATTCGTCAAACAAATCATCGTGAGAAAACTCTATCGGCGGCTGAATATGAGTCCTATAAACGTGCTCCACCAAATCAGCACGAAGGGCGTGATGAATTTCGCGATTGTGTACTTCTCTTCTATTTTCCCTATACTCTTGTGTACCAACGGCTACTCCTTCGACATTGGCAAAACTTCATTTTCGTTGTACCGACATATCGCTCTTCCTTCGTCTTCAAGAATCATATTATGCAATATGATACATGCATACATTACGTGATGTAACCTTTTCACTTCATATGACCTTGCCAACGTCTCTTAAGTACACCGTTCGCTCCACATCCTTCCTAGCTGACTCTTGCGCCTCTTTAAACTTTTTCCTTTTTGAGTCGTTAGGACATGTAAACAATTTCATAAAAACAGACAAAGGAGGATATATACCGTCAGTAAGATAGTATCCACGCTTATATGCTACCCCATTTGCTTGAAAATGTACATCGTGCGACTTTCCAAGGTAGATATCGTTGAATACCGGCGACTGGTCTAGCACATTGATGTCATTGTTTACACTAGCTGGACCAAAGAATGCATGTCATATCCAAAGATCATGTGATGCGATAGCCTCTAGAACGATCATCGGCTCTTTGTGGTCGCCTCTCATGTACTGACCACGCCATGCGTTGGGGTATAATGACCAACCCCAATGCATGCAATCGATACTACCAAGCATTCTAGGGAATCCATGCTTGCCTTCATGCACCGTGTAAAATTGGTAGATATCGTTCATAGTTGGTTTGCGCAAATATCGTTGCCCATAAACCAAACAGATCGCTTTGCAGAACTTGTACACACACTCCCGCACGGTACGCTCTGACATCCTAAAATACTCGTCTCATTTGTCTGCGCTCATGCCGTATGCTAACTGACGAATTGCAACCGTGCATTTTTGAATTGGAGAGAAAACTTTTATCCGCCCCTCATCCATTTTCCATTGGAAATATGGAAAGCGGCCTTCCAAATCGCCAACAATACGTAAGAATAGTTCCTTCCTCATCCGGAACCGACGTCGAAACTTTCAGCGTAGATGGCGCCGTCTGCAAAGTAATCTTCTATAATACGATCGTGTCCGGCTTCGCGATTTCTACGCAATCGCGGATTTCTTGGTTTAGATCGTGCACGTGATGTTTCGCCTACTCTGTTTTGAAAGTATGCAACCGTTTTCGCCATGACGGAACCGATAAACTTAGCCTCCTCTAGAGCCGTCGAATCGGATGATAAAGATGATGACATTTTGATTAATATTTTTTGGAGAGAATAAGAAGGTATGAGTTAAAAAAAATGGTTGGACGTTGTGGTATTTATAGTGTGATAAAAGAAAAAAAATTATATATATATTAACGGTTATAGCTGTTGGAATTCAAAAAAAAAAGAAAAAAAATTAATCAACCAATAGGATGAGGAGTGAGAACACGACATCCCCACCCCCACCCTCCTCCCCGCGCCACCTTCCCCGCACCGACTGTGCGGTGTTTCGCCGGACGGGACTCTTCCCGCTTCCTTCCCCGCTATGATATCGTTCGGCCTTAGGGGTTTTCTCGAAAATGATAGTGTACTGTTCACCAATTTTTTGTTGATAGGCTTTCCATGAATAACATTTTCAGAATGTTGTAACTTTTAATTTATTTAAAAATATTAAAGCAATGAAATTTTAAAAAATTTATATAGGTCCTTATCCCAACTAATTAAGGGGTTGTTTGACAGCATCTGAACTTTTAAGATCTGGATTTTTAAAAGGTTTAGATTTCTAAAAGAGTTTCAATTTTTAAGATATAAAATTTTAAATGTTGTTTGGTTGGAACCTTTGAATTGCAGTATTAAATTATATATATATATATATATATATATATATATATATATATATATATATATATATATATATATATATATATATATATATATATATATATAATCCAGATTAAACATAAATCAAAATTAAATACAAATCAAAATAAAAAATAACACTTATTTTCTTTGATTATACCTAAAACAACTAATTGCAATAATAAAAGAAAATCAAGATTTCATATAACAAATGACAAACCTATTTCTTAATTAATGTTGTACCCAAAACAATCAAAATCTCCAACTCAAGAGCTTCACGATTCTTACAACTATGAAAAGGGTACAATATGATTAAACTTCATGTATAACCTAAAACATATCTAAAAATTAAGCCACAATTTCTTTACTTCAATCTCTTAGCCCATGCTTTCGCTTAATGAACTCCCTAAGCTTGTGGGTATGAAATCTTCTCCACAAATAGACACCACTTGTTCAAGATATAACAACATACTTTCACTTAGTGAATCCATAACATGCTAATATTTCAGATTCCATCAACCAAAAAACCAAAGCATATAATTTCATCATCGTCGTCGTCATGGATAAGCGTTGTCGTGCACATATGTAGAAGTAATGAGTAGTTTAGGAGTAGATTAGATTTATTGTACTAAGAAAAAAAACCAGTGTTCTCATGGACATAAAGTAAGGTTAATAACCATTAGTCTTTAGCACTTTAAGAAAACTTGTCCCCACTGTCATAAGCATGTCTCTCATGCCTTTAAAGCATGATTTAGACAAGTTATACACTTCTTCTTTTTATGTGTATCTCGAAAATTGCATAAAGAAGAAGAAAGAAAGTCAAACTTTTATAAACTCTTTTATAAAATATAAACATTGTCTTTTAGGAAAAAAGATCAAAGGATTCAACTAGTCCAAAAGTTTGTACATGACTTATAAATCATACCATATGATATATATTAAGTTACTTGCTAATGGAATTTATTATTTCCATGAAATAAATAATTTTCAATTTAATTATAAGATTTTTGTTGAATATTTATTAAAATCAATTTCTAATAAATAATCAATTGTATCAAGTTCTTGTTAGTGTGACTCATTAGTATCATATGTTATTTAGCAATATCAGTTTAATATGACTATTGAGCATACTGGACCTTTGAGTTTGCTGACTTGGCATACAACCTCTATTCATATGTTATTTAGCAATATCAGTTTAATATATGTTATTTAGCAATATCAGTTTAATATGACTATTGAGCATACTGGACCTTTGAGTTTACTGACTTGGCATACAACCTCTATTCAGGTAAAAATGAAGAAGAAGTGAGGCGCAAAGGGGAAAGGCACGTTTCGAACTCGTGACCTCCTTTATTACAGGAGAGAAGCCTACCACTAGAACAGACGTAAGAATTTGTTTTAAATTTCCCTTACTGACTATATGTACATAATTTAACTCCTTGATTTTATACAATAATACACGTAAGATACGTTTTTATGTGTATTTCACATATTAATATGTATATTTATATGTATTATTATTTATAAAACCGTATTTGTGTATTCTAATATCTTTTTATATGTATTTATACACAAGTATTCCACATGGATCAGTAGACTAACTTTTTCCGTTGGACTTAATTTGTCATATATGTAAGGAGTATAAGGTCTAGATATATCCATCTGTAGGGAATCATTCATGTTCCATCAATTAAGTGTATAGTTTCTAGAATTTAAACGACATAAATCACCAAAATGATGTAGTTTTGTGATATGGAAGTTGGAATGGGTCATTCTCGGATATGTGATTCAATTATTAATAATGACCGATTTTCATTCCATGTCATTTTGATAAGGAATGAAATCTTTAATTTATCCGGTCTTATTCATTATCCATGTAATCTTTACTAGCAAAAAATTCATTTAAAATAAGTTTGGAACTTTAACCAGATTGCTAACATTTTACTATCTTTGACCCTACAATGATAAAGATGTGCATCGTCTCTAATTTCCCTTTTATGTGATATATGTTCTTGGTTGTTAATTAAGAGTTAATACTATCTAGAATCTAATGTATGTTACATGCCATCATTAGACCAAAAAAGAGTAAAGTTGAATCATCAAGGAGCATGTTGGAGTAGATGGTTGATAGAATGATTGAGAGAAGAATCTAACGATTTAGGATGATGATTGAATTAAGATTAAATTGAATGTTTATTGATGATTAAGTTGAGAGAAGAATCAAACGATTTAGGATGATGGTTGAATTAAGATTGAATTGAATGTTTATTGATGATTAAATCCTCCATGTTTATCTCAATGGGGAGGCATCTGAATATGAACAAAAAACATAACATTAATCGAAATTGCTTCTGATTAAGGGAGAATTCCGTATATGCCCTTATTAAACACCAAAATATCATATTTGCCCAACCTAATATCTAAATATCATATTTGCCCTTTTTAATCCTTAAAATATCA